GGTGAGAGGGGACAAGCAGAGAGGACTTGATGTGACTGGACGTGGGCCCTCCATCCCAGACACTGAGGGGGTTGCTGAGGAGGGGAGCAGCTAAGAAGCCGCGGAGGTCCTCCGGGAGGCTAGGCTGCTTGGGGGAAAGTGACTTCTTAATCCTGAGGACCCTAGAGCCTGTCTCTTGCCCAGGGCCTAGCCCTCATCAGGGGAAGGGCTCCAGCCAAGAAGACCTTATCAAAAAGGCAGGGTGGAAGGAGGGCTTGGGAAAGTAGAGAAGACACATTGTAGGCCGAGTGATTCTCACCTTTAAGAAGCCACTTGGGTCCTTTGGAAAGCGTGGAGCTGGCTTGGCAGATGGACGGCTCCCGATCACTGAGACAACATCTTGGAGCTTGCTGCCTCTCCTCACCACATGGTCAGAGGTTTCCACTGCCCCAGGCTTGGGTCCTGCCTTCATCCTTGGCCCCATCACTTTTCCTGTCCCCAGAAAGTCATGTCCCATCCCTGGGCCTTCACCGTTTTGTCAGACCCAGTTGGTTCATTTGGTGGTCACAGATGTACACAGATGTTCGTGAGAAAGGTTTTAGAAAATGGTCACGGGCACGGTAGTCTCTCCTCACCATAGCCTGGGTCGACATGGCAGGTGGCGTGGGGTGAGCTTTTAGCTCCATTTCTGTATCTAGGGGGAGATTCTGAATGTTATCCACAGAAGGGCGGATTGTTAGAGCTGGGCATCTCTCCATGCCAGGTGTGGTTTTACCTCAGAATTTGTTCAGCACCAGGTCCCTTGTGTGTCTCCCACAGAGGAGCTCTGGTCACCAGAAGGCTCCTCTGGCTTTCTTACGGCACTCCCTTGGCCTGCCATTTGGGTGCCTGAATGAGTTTTTCTGAGGGATGTCGTGGGCACCAGGTGCCATCTGATGTCCCTTAGCCTTGTGCATGACATGGCAGAGTACTGTCGTCCTGGTAAAGGGGAAACTGAGACAGGAAGTTGTGAGGTGGGTCTGGGGGTGGTCTTTCTGGTGCCTGCCCTTTACCCTGCCACGGAGGCCGCTAGGGCTTTGTGCCCCTGAGCAGCTGTCCCCTTGCTTGCTCTTTTTCGTGAAGTTGTGCACACGAGGGAAGAGTGTATGGGGCCAGGGCATACCAGTATAGACCAGTGTGCCTCTTCCCTCTATTGTAATTTCCAAGGAACGCTGACTGTACATGTCTCTGAGGAGGCCTCCTCCCAGCTGAGCAGTGTGGAGTCTGCCGTGGTGTGTGCTCTGCCTACCCATGTCCTCCCGACACCTACTGCTCTTGGGAGAGCAATGGCGTGATCGTGGATTACGTAACACACAAAGACGTGTTTTTATAGCATGCCAGAATGTTCCAGTCTACCTTCTGATTCTATTCCTGCTACCCTCTGCACTGAGAAAGTTGGGGCTAAGCACCCGTTCTTAACAGATGGGGACTGAATTCTAGACAGAGCCATGCTGTGAGTTGGTGCAGAGTCAAGACTTGGAGCTCCAGTTTTGGGGCCTTCTAGATTTGGTGAACACACAGTGATCAGACTCTTCATCCCCACAGGGCTAGTGGTGGTGAACCATTACCTGGCATTTCAGTTTTTTGCAGAAGAATATTATCCTTTCTCTGAGGTAAGATGTCCCCAGCGTCTAGCTCATATACGCATATGGCAGAGATGAAGGAGTGAAGGGACTTACCTGATCTGCTTTGTGAGTGTAGCTCTTATCCAAAACTGGCCCTGTTCAGGAACCATGTTTTGTTTTGTTTTGTTTTGTTTTTTCAAAACAAAAAACATGATTTTGGAAGGCAGGCTGTCTGAGGAACAGAAGGGGTCCCTTTGGCTGAGGTGGACGGACACTGTCCCCTTCCCCACCATGAGTCCTTTGGGTGCCCCAGTAAAGGTCATCTCAAGTCCAGGAGGGGCACCAGGCTGGCCTGTGTGACCCAGACCTCACAAGGCAGGACTGGGTGGCAACCCTCTAGCCCCCAGCTCCATCGGTTCCTGCCCAGAGTTCCTCCTGCTTGAAACCCCCGAGAAGAACAGTGTCACTTTGGGGAGGGACTGCATTCAATCACCGCTATACTTCCCCTCTCCCTGAGTGCTAGCCTCTGCAGGGATGGGGTGGGCCTTGGGGGCGCCCCTGGGGCTCTCCTCAGTCTCTCCTGTCACCAGGTCCTGGCCTACTTCACCTTCTGCTTGTGGATAATCCCGTTCGCCTTCTTCGTGTCGCTTTCGGCTGGGGAGAATGTCCTGCCCTCCACGATGCAGCCGGGAGGTGAGGAAGGGTTTGTTAGGTCAGGTTGGGGGGACTGGCACCAGCCCTGTGAGAGGACACTGGGGCTTTGGGTGATGTAGACACCTGCCTGTGTTTCCACAGATGACGTGGTCTCCAATTACTTCACCAAAGGCAAGCGAGGCAAGCGCTTAGGCATCCTGGTTGTCTTCTCCTTCATCAAAGAGGCCATCCTACCCAGTCGGCAGAAGATATACTGACCCTTTGGGGAGGGCACGTGGGGGGCAAGACCAGTAGAGCCAGGCCCCTGGGCTTCTGGGCTAATGGTGCCTGGGAGCCTGGAGGGTGTCTTCTGCCAGCCCAGGTTTCCCTTCCCTCTGTTCTGAAGCCCCATCCCCACCCTCCTGGGGGGCTTGAATGCTGCCAAGGGCACCAGAGAGGGTAGCAGGGCCTGCTTTGCCAAGAGGCTATGTCCCCAGCCCTCCCCTTCCCAGAGTCGGGTCTGGCTCAGATGGGGTAGGCAGGGAAGGGTCGATGCCACTGGGGAACAGACGGCAAGTTCTCAGGCAGGTGACCATAGGGAAGAGCGGAGGGTTGGCACTTCCAGGAAAAGTGCGTTTTGCTGTTGAACTGTGGGTCTTGGCCAATGCGGATTCCCCTTTGAATAAAGATTCTAGGTGGCACTGTTTGCCTTAACACCCCAGGAGTTCTTCTTTCTCTCTGCCCGCTATCCTTCTGCCTAGACTGGGCCAGCCTTCTGCTCCAGGGACTCATCTTCTGGCTCTTGCCCTTCTGAAGAGAATCTTGTGGCCCTAAGTGGGAAGGGAACAGAGATGAGGATGAGTGGACAACGGCAGTTTTTCTGAGGCTCCTCCCTCTTTTTCCATGTCTTCCTTCCCCCGGACTGTGATAGTCCAGATGGGAGGGAGCAGAAACAGTTGGGACTGGGTTAGAGATGCAGAAGACCATCTACAGTATCCTATTTATGTCTTCCTTTGAGGAAAAGGAGAGGTTTCTTGGTGAATTCTATCTCAGGCTCAATGAAAAAAATAAAATAAAAAATTGGCTTCTGGGCAGCCTAGGCTGTGGCCTGTTTCTTGAGAAATGGGATTGGGAGAGGCTGCCGCTCAGAGCACCCAGGCCTCACACTCGTGTGTGCTTCTGGCTCCTGGAGGGATGTGAGCTCTGCCTTCTAAGAAGGTGGGCCCCATCCTGGGTACAGACCAGCATCTGTTGACCTTGCACTCCAACTACAGTGCCTTGCAAGGGCTCAGCAGTACATGGAATGAAGGTCCCACGAAAACTGCCACTGGCCGAATCCCGTACCTCACAGGGAGTCTGGCAGGTGCCCAGATGGACAGGCGTGGGGAAGACCCCTACTGGTGAACATCTCTATCTCATGCATCCTTCATCCCATTGGCTCTTAGGTTTCTGTTGAGTCTCAGCCTGCCATTCCCTGAATTTTGCTTTGCAGCTACAGGTGAACTCGCCAGACCTATTTCTGCCTCTCGGGTAGGTGAAGTATGTCTAGGACCCGAGGCTGCTGCTCTTCAGCGTCCTGAGACTGGCCCCATTGGGCCTTGCTGCCCACTTCTTTATCTTTGTTCACCCTACCTGCCGGTCAGTGCTTGGACGGGCCTTTCCCAGGCTAGCCCTGGTGGAGTCATCACGTTCCCTACTGGGTCTTGGGGTGGCTGACAGAGCTGGCGGTCTGCTTTCTTGACTCGCTTCCCTGGCACTTCTGTGGCTGCCTGTCCCTTTACCTCTCTGCCCTTTCAGTCTCTGTAGCGGCTTTTCTCTTGCCCGGTGCGCACAGTTGCTCTTGGGCTGTGTTAGGAATTGCCCGAGGAAGCCCAGCCACCCAGCCATGCTGGTGGCTTTAGGGACACTGTGGAGGAAGCCAGGGCCAACCTTCAGCCCCAGTTCCTCTATAACTTCTCAGCCACAGTTCTGCTGCCTTATGGGGACAGACATAATTTGACCTCAAAATCTGCTCTGTTCACCTGCTTTTTCTAGTACCTGCCCTGGTCCCATGGTGGCTCAGGAGCCAGGCAGGATCTGGCTTTCTCTTTCTGCCCTACATCCAGTCTATTCTTAGTGTCTCTTCACGGGAACCGCTCCTTCTGCCGTCTCTCACCTAGTTTTTTCTGACAGTCCCCTGTGTTGCTCTGTCCTGTGGCCAGCTGGAGTAGGTTTTCTAAAATGCGCAGTTGGCCACGTCTTTCCTGGCCTCCAACTTTTCCCCAGCTCTCCACTGCCCTCAGGATAAAGTCCAGACTCCTTAGCATGTGTGTGAGGCTCCTGGTGTCCTGGTCCCTGCAGGCCTCATCACTTGACTAGTACCTCTGGGCCCCAGCCTCCTGTTTGCAGAGACCATGGCTCTCCGGCCACTTTAACATCCTTCCCTCTGCTCACTTTGGTGGTTTGCTACTTTCCTCTTAGATTTGATTTCCTCCAAGGAGCCTTGAATGTCCCCTGTCCTCCCCTAACCCCAGCCACCACACAGATCCCTCTAGGCTCACTGGCCTGTGGTATGGTCTGTCTCCCCCACAAGACTGGAAGCTCCTTGAGGGCAGGGAAAGCCCTTGGATTTTTGTATTATCAACTACCTGATTTTGGCGCCTGGCCCATGGAAAGCACTCAATAAATGTTTTGTTTAAAGAATGAGTTGTAAGTGTGTAACAAGGGAATGATGGGGTGCAGGGTGGCTTCCTAGACCAGTCTCACATCAAAGCCACAGGTCTTTCTCTCCTGGCAGAAATGCTGCCCTGCCTCCTGGAACTGTGGCTTCACACACCTCAGTGGGACCAGGAGCAAGGGGGCAGTGGCACATGGGCAGAGAAGCCTGGTACTGGATATCACATTCGCTGTTCCTCATCCCTAGTCAGGGTCTGCAGCAGACAGGAAGGGAAGGTGGCAGAATTGTTAGGGGGGCCCTGTCCTGGAAGCCTTGTCCCTTGTGTGCTAGGTAGGGGTAGGTTAAGGTAGAGCAGTGAGGACCAGAGGGTTACTTTTACATTACTCTGTCCCAGGACATTATCGACCCTCTACTGAATCTTATTGCTCTGTCCAGATGTGTACATCCCAGGGAGCCAGGCAATTTCTTTGTAGAGAAAAGGTAAGCCTCAGATGTGTGCTCTTGGGAGGAGGGAGTAAGGGCGGCTCCTGCCCTTGGGCTTGGGAATGAGAACGCCATAGGTATTTCTCCAGTCCTTCCGCCACAATATGAATCAACACTTCCGCCTTTGCCAGGAGGGTTCCAAAACAACTTTATGTGAGAACTCCCTTTGAGGGTGGGGCCCCTCCAGTCGGGCAAGCTTTCAGGGTAGCCAGGAAGGGTTCATCAAATGTCTCACGCAGGCTCATAGCCAATGCATTGCTGCAGGTATCTCCCAAATGCCGTTTCTGGGGCACTTTGAGGATGTCAAGTGGATATAAGCCCTGGGGCACTTTCATCCTGTAGGGTTGAGCCCCGGGGTACAGCACCCGGACCATCACCTCAAAAGGCAGCCGGGGTACAGGTGTCACTGAGTGGTTGTCCACTGTGTACAGGCATGCACCTCCCAGGGAATTCCGAGTCACCTCCACAAATCTGCCGAAGTCATGCTCCTTGCAGGGTTCTGGGTGCACGCCCAGGCGTATACCCTGAGGACAGTCAATCTTGGTGACCGGGGAGCTGACGGGGTTATTGCTAAGATTCCACAACTTGGGCCGACTGATGGTGCTCTGCTGCTTGTAGATGGGCTTGGGTGTCACCACAGGTGAGGGCAAGCTTTGCAGTTGAGCCTCCACGGAAGGATAAGTCGGGAAGCTTTTGATAAACTGGGATCTTAGAGTCTTGGAGAGGGCCAATGACCAAGGTTGGACACCAGCCTCTTGTTTGGGTTCAGCGGAGCTCTGGGGCCGGCCCAGCAGCTTGCCTTGGAGCCATGTTCTGAAATGGGCCTGTCTCAGAATTTGTTGTTCTTTCTGTAACAACAAAGGACACAGGGCAGACCCTGAGGCTAGCGCTCTGGGAAACTCCAGGCCTAGTGGGCAATTTGCTGCTTTATGTGAGCCTTGTTCTGAGAGAGTAGGCATCCCTTGTTCTGATTGGGCTCCCAGGCTGTGGAGGAGACAAAAACTTTCATAGGAGACCTCCAGCTTGAGGACAAAGCCGTCATCCCTCCCTAGGGACAGCCTCAAGTTTGCAGGCCTCACTTCCCCTAGAGGTAGTCCCAGCCTCAAGGAGACAGTCAGTCCTACCCTCTGATGGCTCTGGTTTGTCCGCAGAAGGAGAAAAGAGGAAGAGCTAGGAGGCCTGGCATTGGCTGGAAGTAATGAAGGTGCACAGGCTTCTGGGGAGTGACATTGAGGAGGACAGAGCAGCGTGTGGCCGGACTGGGTGGTGGGGACTCAGCCAGAGCTGTCTTTACCACCGCTGGCACTGAAACTTTCCCATGTGGAAGTGTCCCCACCCTATCATCTCAGTGCCTCACTCCTCCACAGTTGCTAAGTAATTGGGTGCTTTGGAGATTGACCCAGCTCCAGAGGCAGACTGATTAGGCTAAGCCAGGAGTCCTAATTCCATCAGCCTTGCGCAGTCCTAAGTCAGGCAGCATCTGGCTTGTTCTTTGTTCTAGTCATTGGAAGAATAGTGGTCATGTGATCCACTGAGGCCAACAAGAGGATCCCGAGGGGAGGTCTGCAGGGAGCTGCTGAGGAGGGGTAGGGTCAACAGAAAACCTGACAGCTCTAAGGGCTAGACAAGGAGGACATCATGAAGAGAGGCTCAGCTGGGACACTGGAAGAGCGTAACAGTGGCAGGGCCCTGAAGTCACTGTAGGATTCATTAGGAATCCATGTTCTTGAGTTCGAGGCCAGTCTGGTCTACAGAGCAGGGGGTAGGGGGGCGAGGAAGGAAGAGGCCCAGCTCCCTCTAAGTTTCCTGTTCTGTTTGAGTGTTGTTATGCTCCCTGATGGCATCTGTTGAGCCCTTCCCCTGTCGTGTTCACTAGCCAAAGCGCTTCACTGCTCTGGACCCTTGCCAAACCTCTAGTCCGTCAAGTCTGATCCCTACGTTTGCTGTTTTCTGCCTCTGTGATGCTCCCGTGCGCCCCATGTATTTTGCACCGTGACTCCTTCTGTGGGTCTCTCCTTCCCTACTCCATATGGATATCAGATGCCTGTCCATCTTCAAAGACACCTCCTTGGCATCCCCTCAGGCACCCTCCTTGACTCTCTCCAGGAGCATAACCTACCCCTCCCTAGCACTAAGCTCCTTGAATAGAGACCATACCTTGCTGGACTTGCAGGGCCTGGCGGGAGCCTAGTGTATAGTGAGGGTAGGGTATCTGAATGCCCCATAATTCAGGTTGCATTCGCTTTCTGGCACAGGACAAGACCTTTGGCCTGAAGGAGTGGTTTATAAGGGAGGATTTGGGAGGGGGCAGGGGTTCCTTCTGTGAGGGAGTCTTCCGACTGCTCCTCTCACCTGGCAGCAGGGCCCAGCCCCGGGGGTTGGGGGGGGGGGGCTCCCCCTTACTTGATACTCGGTCAGGTAGCGGCGCTCCAAAACGGCCAGCTTCCTCTTCAGGGTCTTCAGTTTCCCCATTTCTCGGGCAAAGTCCTTCTTGTTCTGTTTCCACATGGCATCCTTCAAGAACCTGGCACCAAGGTGAGGGTGTGGCATATTACAGTAACTGGGCTGCCCTCAGGGGGTGGGGCGATGAGGGCCAGGGTGGGATGAGTGGAATTGCCGGAGCAGAGAAGAGCAAGGCACCCTCGTCCTATGCCCAGGGACCCTCTGAGGGTGAAGAGGAAAGTTTCTGATGGAGAGTTGGGGGAGGGGAAAAGCAGAGAAGGAGGGCAGTGTTCAATCTAAAGGGGTGAGGTCAGGCCAAACCCATATGGACAATATCCTGCCACGTGCCTCCTCAACCCTCCCCCTAGAGGATCAGTTCTGGGGAAGGGCCTTGCCAGAAGGAACAGCAGCTGGTATGGTTGTCACAGGCTCACCGGGCACAGCTGCGGTGGTTCCAGAGTTTGCAATAGTCGATGGGCTTGCAGCCCATGGCATCCTGGGCGTGCACATTGGCTCCATTCTGCACCAGGACCTTCATACATCCCAGCAGGCCATTACGGGCAGCCAGGTGCAAGGGTGTAGAGCCATGGCATGTCTTACTGTGAGGTATACCACAGGGCAAAGGGTAAAGGGCAGAGGGAAGGGGAAGGGCATCAGATAGGCAGGTAAGCCGGAGTGGGCAGGTTTCCAGTGCCTACTCTGCCACCACCGTGAGGGATCCTGTCCATAACCCTGCTCCTCACCAGGCCTCAAGTTTGTCTTCTCTAAGCTGAGCAGTGCAAATCTAAGCAGAGGATGTGTTTGAACATGACAGCTAGGAGGCTGTGATATGAATATGCCTGGAGGCTCCCTGGGCCGCTTCGGGGCCATCAATCTCATCCGCTTTTGTCTGATTTTTGAGACAAGGTCTCTTGTAGTACAGGTTGATCTCGAATTTGTTATGTAGCCAAGGATGACCTTGAACCCCTCATCCTCCTGTCTGCATCTCCTGAGTGCTGAGTGTACAGATAGATATGGACCACCAAGGCTGGCTCCTCCCTGGCTTTCGGCAAGGTTGGCTCACTTGGTCCTCAGAATGAAGTTAATTTTAATGTGTGTGGTGTGCATATGTGTGTATGCATCGTCACATGTGTGTGTAGGTGTGTGTGCCCGTGCGTGTGTGTGTGTGTGTGTGTGTGTGTGTGTGTGTGTGTGTGTGTGTGTGGTTGACACTGGGTGTCTTTTCCTCTGTTGTCCTCCACCTTATGTGTACAGTGTACAGGCATGGTCTCTCTAACTTGAACTCAGGGCACACTGAATCAGCTAGTCTAGCTAGCCATCTTGCTTGGGATTTCCTGTCTCTGTCTCCCATGGGCTGGAATTACAGGAAGGTCACCATGCCCAACTGGCATTTACATGGATGCTGAGGATTTGAACTCAGGTCCTCACATTTGTACAATGGGTGCTTTACCCATTGAACTTTCTCTTCAGTCTCGATTAGGTTGCAATTAAATATCACCTCCTGGGGCTGGGGATGCACTTCCTTTGACAGAATGCTTGCCTAGCATACATAAAGCCCTGGGTTCAATCCCAGCACTGTATCAAACCAGGTGTAGTGATGCATAACTGGGAAGTGGAGGCATGAGAATCAGAAGTTCAATATCCTCCTTGGCTATCATAGCCAGTTTGAGGGTAGCCTGGACCACATGAAGCACTCAAAAAATAATGAAGAAAGGAATTGCCACTTTCTTAGAAGTTATTGCTTCTTTTAGATAGACCCTTCCCCAGGGATCCCACCCCATCACCCCATTGTTCTCTTCATAACCCAACTCTCAGAATTCTGGCCATTCGTTCATTTATTTGCAATTAGCATACTGTCCAGTCACCAGAAAGTCAGCTCTGTGAGGGCAGAGATGGGCTCCTGTGTCTGTTGCGATGCTCCCAGCTTGGGTGTGGTGCTTGTTAGCACACCGTGAAAGCTTGGTTAGGACTCTGGGTGAACAAGGCAGTCTTTTGGTGTGCCATGCATTTTCCTTGTCATGGAAGTATGGCTGGAGAGATGGCTCAGTGGTTAAGAGAATGTACTGATCTTGCAGGACCTGAGATTGGTTCCCAGCACACAACCGCCTATAACTCAACTCCTTTATCACAACAGCTCTATGGCACAGGCATTCATCCTCCCAGTCTCAACCAAAGACAGCCAGTTCCCAAACTAAGCTACAAACTAGAAATACCTGGGGATTGTCAAGGCTTCCAAAGCCCACAATGCTATCTGTGTACACCTGACTGTGGGGACTAGGGCACTGAGGCTCCTGCAGACCCACAGTTGGCCTGAGCCAAGATTTTGAGAATTGGATCTGCCCTTTCTGGATGCTCAGTCTCTTAAGAACCAGGACACTAAGTGGGTTCCTTGACTGCTTTCTTCAGGCAGAACCCCTCATCTGGTCCTGCAAGACTCCACTTGCCTGGCGACCCAGAGTCCCAAGTGTCTCTCCAACAGTAGGCTGGACTTACGAGTTGATGGCTGCCCCTTTCTTAAGCAGGTAGTCAATGCAGGGGAGGATGTCCGACTTGTTGTCTTTATGGATGACTAGGTGCAGGGGCGTCTGGCCATTGTTGGTGGGCAAATCCACAGGGAACTTGTACTCTTCTATCAAGACCTGAAGGCAGGAAAGCTTGCTTCTCTGCGCTGCGAAGTGGATGGCTGTGAAGCCCTGAGGAGTGGAGTGGAGAGCGCAGGAGAAGGCTCAGCAGGATTGGGGCGGGGCCCACAACCCTGCCTCTGTCTTGGGGTTGCCCTCTTTGTTCCCTGTGTCGCTGGAGGGGCTCACAGTCCTTCATCCCCTACCTCTCTGCTTCCAAATGGGCCTTCTATGGATGGGTAATTAGGACCAAGGCATAGAAAAAGTCACCTCGGAGCTCCTCAGCGGCAGTTCATCTGGTAGCCTCTCTTAGGTGTTGGGGAATTTCAGTCCCTGCCTCCACGCTGCAGGCTTTACCTTGTCGTCGACTGTGATCTCCTTGCGCTCCCGATTCAGGCAGAACCGAAGCCAGTCTACATTGCCCACCGAGGCTGCGAACAACTCGGAGTAGCTTGGAATCGCTTTGTAGTTCAACGACTCTGAAGGGCTAGAATTGGCCGGGCAGGGGTGAGTGGGAGGGCTGGGAACCTCCCCGGGTTTCCCTGCGCCCCCACCGGCCCGCACACCTGCCCACCTGGGCTGTGAGAACTCGGGATCGTGTGTGTGTTCTGTCTGCTGTGTGCTGCCCGGTGCAGCGGAACTGGACTTCTCTTTTCTGCCCGAGCCCTTTCCGGAATGCAAGGACCCTGTCCCGCGCCTCGGTGTAGCAACGCTCACAGAGGTCGCGCGGGCATTGGAACTACCACGGCTGTGCGCACAAGGCTGCGCGGGGCGGGGCCCACGACCCACCCCCGTCCCCCGGGTGGCGCCTCCACCGCCTTTGGCCCCAGCCAGGACTTGGGGGAGGGTCAGAGCCCTCAATCCTGGAAACTCTGCACTCCGGGCACACTACACACTTAGTCTATAGTGGGATCACATAGGAATGAAACGGAAAGTGTGACTGGGAAATGGAATCTGGCCATCTCTGCCCATAGAAAGCAGGGTCCGGTGCCACACGCACACGAAGTGCGTTTGTATTTGAAGTTGCATTATGAACTAGCTGCCCTTGAAATTCCACGTGCTAAATTATTACGTCCTCACAGCAGCATCATAATGGACAACCGCTACGTCACACAGGCCTTCCAAAGCAGAACCGCTCCACTTGGTACTTTTCTTGGGAAATGGAAGGATACAGAGTTTCAGGGTAGCCTGGGCTATGCGTCAGATCTTATCTCAGAAAAGTACCAGACATGGTGGTGTAAGCCTGCATGCAATGCTGCATTCCAGAGTTAGCATTATTAGAACACAGTAGACACTAAGAGGCAAGGTATTGGTTTAAATATTAAGGCAACTCCACGTAGTTAAAAGGGAGGTTTATTTTGTGGGGTAACTTACAAGTGAAGGGATAGGTTACAGGGTCTGGGAAAGGTGTAGTGGAGTCCAGCTGTCCAGTGTTCTCTGGAGAACTCTGCTCGGTCTACCTCCAGCGTCCAGGATCCAGTTACGGAAGCCTCAAAGTGGGTGGTACTTCCAGGTCAAAGCTGGACTGGCTACCCACTACAGCAAGGCCCAGTTGGGGGAAGTGGGGGCCTGTGATGTGCCTTTGGAGTATATGTGTGCCCCAGGAAAACTGAAAGGAGAAGGGTACCCTAAGATGTGCAGAGGTACAAATAGAGATTCTTGGGGGCTGGGGGTATGGCTCAGGAGTTAAGAGCACTTGCTGATCTTTCAGAGGGGTTAGGTTCGGTTGCCAGCACCCATCATGATGACTCACAACCACCTGGAACTCCAGTTCCAGGATTTCCAATGCTGTCTTCTGATCTCTAAGGGCATCCGGTATGTAAGTGGTGCACATATATAAATGCAGTCAAAACACTCATATGCATAAAGTAAATCTAAATTTTAAAAAATGCTGATTCTCCAGCCAGAAGCAGATTTCTCTAGACTCCTGCACTGTACATTGTGTCACTAAGCCATGTGATGTTTAAACTTGTGGAAGTGGACTCTCGGAGGGGGGCCCTCCTGTCCCAGACTTTACGATGTTTATTTTAAATGTTTGGGACTGGAGAGATGTCTCCGTAGTTAAGAACAGTTGCTGACTTTCTAGAGGACCTAGGTTTGGCTCCTAGCACCCACATGGCAGCTTTCAACTGTCTGTAACTCCAGTTCCAGACGATCTGATGCCCCCTTCTGGCCTCCCCTAACACCAGGCACACATGTGGTGCACACACACACATGCAGGCAAAACATCCATCCATATAAAAATTAAAAATAAATCTCAAAATAAATAATAATCTCCAAAACAGCTTTTCCTGGAGCAATGTGGGCCTCTAGCTCTGGGCCAGGGTTTGGGAGAGGCAGCAAAGTGGCCCAGGAGTTTGTGTCTTAGCTAGAAGGTGTTTCCAACAGATGTTGCAATTATTTATCCCATGATATAAAAAATGCCTATAATCTCTTCACGGTCCTTCCGACACCTAAGCTACTTTGAATTGGGTTTCTGTCCTTTTCAGGAAAGCCTGACTAGTGAAAAGTTCTTTGGTTAACTCCTCCATGGGGTACAGTGATTAGGACTGGTGTGGTGGCCCCTGGAATGAGCTGTGTGGGCTACGGCTCCATGACACTCAAGGGTGTTGAGAGTCATCTCTGCACTCTCGGGCAACAGCAAATAAATGAGAGTCAGGATTTATGCCTGGACTGCCAGGCCTGGCTTGTCTGAGTAGGGGCATCCCTGCATGGGGCTAGGACTGGGTGCTCACCATCACTTTCCTGCTATGGCTTTAGCACATGCTGCTATACGGGGCGTATGCTTCTGATACCAGGGCAGAGGTAGGAACGGAGCTGGCTCCCAGCAGCCAGTGTGCTCTGGCTGTGCTGGCAATGGGCAGGAAACAGAGCTTCCGGGTCAGTGTCCTGGGTGCCAGGAGAGCTAATGTGGTCTTTGTGGGGTGGGCGTCTGTGTTTGGGAGAGAACTGGGATGATAAGTCCTAGCAGGTAGGGCAGAGAACATTTGCTTGTAGGATCAGATTGGAGGAAGACGGGTGTCTGGGGTGTGAGCAGCGCTGAGGAGAGAGGTCTGAGCAGGGCTGAACCCTGGAGAGAGGACATGTTCCAGAAAACTCTGTGGCCTCTCCCCATCTGCTTTCCTTAGCACTCCATTGCCACGCCCATTCTGAACAGGTCCTTCAAATGAGCCTCAGAACAGTTCCTGAAGATCAAAGAGGCCTGCTGGGCAGATATATCGTCCCTTCCAGATGGCCAGTTTCCTTGTGGCTGGCAGATCAAAGAGTTTATTTAATCACCTACCATGGAAGTACCATGACAGTCCAAAATGATCCCAAGAGGCATCCAGAATGAAAGGCTTTGGGGTCTGGGGAGATGGCACGATTGGTAAGGTGTTTACCACACAAGTGTGAGGACCTGAGTTCAGATCCCCAGAACCCATGAGCACTAGGATTAAAAGCATACTCCACTATGCCCAACAAGACTTTTCTTTTTTTAATACTTTTACAAACTGCATGGTATCATCTACACCTTCAACAATTAGCACATTTTTCTCAATCTTGTTTTCACTGGAGACAAATTCATCTCAGTTACTGTTTTTGTTTTCCATTTCAGTTATATCTATGGAGGCAGGGCTTCTAAAATACAAGTACAGGACAGAGGTGGAGTTCAGTAGTAGAGTACCTGCTTAATAGTCTGAAGCACTCCTACCCCCACCCCGCGCCGCTTTTATTCTCAGCATGCCCCTAAAAAGAGCTCCACCCTCACCAAAAGACACTCCTGTCAACGCAGGGCTTAAGACACGGGTTTGACCACGAACTAGAAGGCTGCAGACTGGGGCTGCTCTAGAGCGCGGTATCGGACGCGGGGTCCTGCTGCGCCCCCTGGCGGGAGTAGAACTCGTCCGTCATGCTCTGCGGGATGCGCTTCAGCATCTCTTTAGGGAAGATGCGCAGCAGTTTCCAGCCCAGGTCCAGCGATTCGAACACGGTGCGGTTCTCGTAGGGACCTGGGGACCACGCAGGAGCGTAAAGGCTTCCTGTCCAGAAGAGAAGGGCCAGGTGGTCCCAGCCCCGCCCCCCGCCGCGCCCCACCTTGGGTGATGAAGTTCTTCTCGAACTTCTGCAGAAACTCCAGGTAGAGCAGGTCCTCTGAGGTGAGTGCCTCCTCCCCCACCACCGCTTTCATGGCTTGCACGTCCTTCCCGATGGCGTAGCAGGCATACTACGGAAGGGCAGTGTGGGCTCACCACCCCTGTAGGCTGAGCTCCACTTGCTGGGGACCAGCTTTGCGCTGACAGGAACTTCTTGTCCAGGTGGGGCTCTGAACTCCACCTTTTAAATCGGGGTTACCGCATCCACTGCCCCTCTCCTTACCAGCTGGTTGGAGACATCTCCGTGGTCCTTTCTGGTCATGCCCTCGCCTATGGCCGACTTCATCAGCCGTGACAGGGAAGGGAGCACGTTGATGGGGGGATAGACCTGGGGAGCAGAAGAGAGTAGCATGTGACAGGACCCAGGCTCTCCTTTCATTCACCTGCTCCTCCACACCCTTCTCAGAAGACTCCTATTCATCCTACAGAAAAGTGAGCGGCTACACTCCGCCTGCTCTATCCCCCATAGAGTCCAGGCCTTGATTACTAGGTGGAAGACAGTCATATAGGCGAGTCTATACAGGAAGGAAGCTGGAGCTAGGCGCAATGAGGTGAAATTCGTTAATGAAACACAATTTCAAAACATTTGATATTTGTACAAGCAAGTTGAAGCTTCATAGTGTGTGTGTGTGTGTGTGTGTGTGTGTGTGTGTGTGTGTGCATGTTTTGAGACAGTGTCTTGTAGCCCAGGCTATCTGGATTCAGACGTGCTTTGTAACTAAGGATGGCCTTGAACTTCTGATCTTCCTGCCTCCACCTCCCTAGCACTAGGATTACAGGCTTGTGCTAGGTTTGCAGGCTGTGTTGTTGCCTGTATTATGTAGTGTGGGGATGGAACCCAGGCTTCCTACATGCTGGGCAGGCTCTTAACCAAATGAGCTACAGCCCCAGCCCTGTTACCCCTATTTAGTGTCACCAAAGCTAATAACTGTGAGTGGAAGAGAAATGCTTTATATTTAGTGCTTTCCATATGCTTCATATATACTAATGCACCCCCCCCCCCAGTACATTGGTGTGATACATAAACATGGACCCAGGGATTAGCATCATTTTCTCTAGGTCCTATGGCCAAGTGGGCTAGCCTATGGCTAGCTGTGAAGCACAGGCTCCCCCAGTGCCTAGCTCCTGACGGTGTGACTTGGGGCAGACCTCTCCTCCTTCTTGCACAGGAGTGATACCTAACTCTTTTTCCATGTCTTGGCCGCAGGGGAGCAGATGTGGGGAGAAAGGAGGCGGCTATTGGGAAGGAACAGTACCTGCCGGTTGTGTAGCTGTCTGTCCACATAAATTTGTCCCTCTGTGATGAAGCCAGTCAAGTCTGGGATGGGGTGGGTGATATCTGCAAGCAAATACCCTGTCCTCAGTGTATGGGGCTGGGGTTCTCATCTACTTGGGGACACATGAGTTCTTTCAGCATGGGGATGATGGGGTGGCTGGTCGAAATGGAGAGTGGGTTCTGGAGGGCAGGGGATGCTGAAGACTACCATCATTGGGCATGGTGAGAATGGGGATCTGCGTGATGGAGCCACCCCGGCCCTCCACGCGGCCAGCTCGCTCATAGATGGTGGCCAAGTCTGTGTACATATATCCAGGAAAGCCACGGCGCCCTGGCACTTCCTCTCTGGCAGCTGAGACCTGCAATACCCACAATAGCAGGTATGTCAGAAGATGAAAGGCTAGACTCAGGAAGGGAGATTAGGAGGTTGGACTGAGGGGACAGAAGAGGAGTGCCCAGCCTGTGATTGAGCCCTGAGACTTGCTGAGAGGAGCATGCCTAGATGAGTGAATTATTTTGTTTATCAGGGTGGATGTGAGGCCAAGGGAGAAACAAGGAGGGGTGGTTTGAATCTGACACCCCTCAGCCAACACACCTCCCGCAAAGCCTCTGCATAGGAGCTCATATCAGTTAATATGACCAGCACATGCTTCTCACACTGGTAGGCAAGGAACTCAGCTGTGGTCAGGGCCAGACGAGGGGTGATGATCCGTTCAATCCTGGAAGCCAAGCATGACAGGGCTCAGGGAGCCTGGGGGCCCAAGCCTGGGCCCACGAAGCCCCAGAATGGAGTGTAAGGTTGGCTGGGAGGTGGCAGGGGAACAGATAAAATGAGCCCCGCCCAGGGCTCCTGGTCAAGACAATGGTTCCTAACAGTGGGCACTTCCTGGCAATACTGATGCTCCCTTGCCCACTGTCCAAGGTGAGCCAAAAATGTGCCTTTCCTGCTTGAAGCCATCCTGAGCATGCTTCCTTTAGCTGGCCATTTCAGTTCTGGGCTCTGGGCCTGTGGCTCTTCCCCTAGCAATGCTATCTCGGCCTCCAGAATTCTGTTATTTAGTTTGAGGGTACCCTTAATACCTAGGATAGGTTATTAGATTTTTAATGTCATCCATGTGAACCCCAGATTGAAAGTCCCATCTTCAAAACTTTCAAAATAGAGCATTTTCTGAATAAATGCCACAAACAGTGGCCTCTCCAGATTGACCTTGTTCAGGCGACACAGGGATGAGAGGTCCCTGACTTGGACAGCTGCTGTGGCACAGGTATGAGGAACTCAGAGGGCAGGTGGGGTCCTGGTCTGGCTCCCTGGCATGGCCCAGGCCTCAGTTTCCCTATCTGTACAACCAAGAGTTATTCTCACAGCTCTAGCCCATGGCTGTGGTTCTGGGATGTCCTGAACCCCAGTATCCCAGGCCTAGGAAAGGGGAAGGCCCCAAGGGCAGTCTGAGCATAGGAAGGACTCACGTAGGATCATTGGCCAAGTTCAGGAAGAGGCAGACGTTTCCCATGGTTCCATTCTGCTCGAAATCTGACTTGAAGAACCTGGCTGTCTCCATGTTCACCTAGACACATAGCCAGGGGAGCTGTGGGCAGGCCGTGTGGCCGAGAGCTGGGCTTAGCCATGACCAGCTTTTCTCAGCAAAACTTGGGGACTGACAGCTTCACAGTCATTGGCTGTACAGGTGAATAGTCAATGAGGTGGCCATAGGGCCCAAGAAGGACTCATCAGGTCCCCTACAAAACTCAGCCTTTTTAACCTTCAGCTTCTTCTTGTCCCTCTCTTGGCCAGCTACTTCCTGACCCAGCCCCCCAGCCTCCGATTGCACTCTCTGAGGACCCTTGGCATCCTTTTTCAGAAGATATCTTGTCTCTGTAGGTTCCCTGGGCTCCTCCTCCAGGCCAAGTATGGCCCTGGGATGCCTCAAGGGTCACTCTGACCTGGTCACTGAGTCCATCCCTGCCCCCTTTAGCCATGCTGGGGTCTCTGCCTCCAGACTGGCCTGAACTTTAGGGGCTTCTCAGGGTGCAGGACTCAGTGTCCCCCATCAGAATAGGCTGTGCTAGAGCCAAGGCAGGCAAGGCTATTTCTCACCATTTCCAGACTTGCCTCCAGCTCCCCTTACCCCCATGGCTGCAAAGACAATGGCGAAGTTGTCCTCATGGTAATCCAGCACAGCCTTGGACTTCTTCACCAGCCCGGCTTGGCGACAGATCTGGGCAGCAATCTGAGACAGGATGGGCCAGGAGGGAGGCTGTCAGGGCCAGAGCCCTGGGACATCTGGCCCGCTGAGCATCACTACGGAGGATGGATGTTACAAACGGGGTGGGGAGAGTCCAAGCCCCGAAGAGTGAGGGACTGCCCTGGATCCTGCAGTCTTTCTCAGGGTTGGGGATGGTCTCTTCTTTGGCTACTAAGGAGTTGAAGGCACCTGTCACAAGGAGCAGGGCAGCATCCCCAAAGAGCAACAGTCTTGTGTGAATTTGGGCAGTTTAGCTTAGGATAGCTGAGCCTTTCAGAGCCTGCACCTCCCACAGCCTGCTGGAGCCATATGAGACTAGAATGTGTGTGACTGTGAGAGCCCTCTGTCCTTGTCCTGAATCAAGATGTGGTGGGGAGGGAGACTCTCGAAAGAGAGTGGGCACAGTAAGGAATGGTGAGGAGGGATATCTAGAAACCTTGTCACACCAGTGGCTCTGAGAGGACCGCGCGGTTCTTGTCTGGTGGTGGTGGTGGTGGTGGTGGTGGTGGTGGTCAGGCAGACACAAGTACAAGGACCGCCTGACACAGGCTGCCAGCTGAGCGGGGCTTCTACACTGGAGTCTACTCGGGCTCTCTGAAGCCAGTGAGCGCTCCATTCACTAGGGACAGCATGCAGCCCTTTCCAGGGGCCATGTGTGACTGTATGTGTTGGGGGTGTCTCTCATGCCACCCTGACCCGGAGCTGTCAGGAAACACCAGCCAGGGTGGATGCTGGTCATTCCTACTCTTTGCTTGGCACAGAAGTGCTTGGTACTAGGCTGGAAGCCCAGGCTTCTGCTTGTCTCCATCCTTGGTTATGCGTCCCTCACCTCATTGTGAGGGAGCCCAGCTGCAGAGAAGATGGGGATCTTCTGGCCACGGGCGATGCTGTTCATGACATCAATGGGGGAGATTCCTGTCTGGATCATCTCCTCGGGGTAGATTCGGTCATGAGGGTTGATGGGCTGGCCTGGGAGGGGTGACCATACAGGTTCAGGCTCCAGCCCTTCTACCACCAACCACCACTGTCTCTCTCTGCCAACCAGCTCTTCAACAGCCCCTTCTGCAACAACGGAACTATGTGTGCAGCATCACCCGGGCACCTGTGGCTCTTGTGCATGTGAGATGCAATTGAAAGATGAAATATCCTTTCATTTGAATTGGTTCAAGTTTAAAAAGCTGTTTTCTCCATGCTATCTTTTTTTTTTTTTTTTAGTTTTTTTTTTTTAGTTTTTCTGAGACAGGGTTTCTCTGCGTAGCTTTACGCCTTTCCTGGATCTCGCTCAGTAGACCAGGCTGGCCTTGAACTCACAGAGATCCACCTGGCTCTGCCTCCCGAGTGCTGGGATTAAAGGCGTGCGCCACCACCGCCCGGCTTCTCCATGCTATCTTAGATAGCATTGCCTGTAGTGGGTAGCCATTCCAACCTTGATCTGGAAGTTCCAACCCCCATTGAGGCCTCGGTAACTGTCACGCCCTAGCATCTTAGCTAGACAGCCCCCCCTCAACACCTAGGCACCTGAGGGGTGTTCAGAGGACCAGAGGGTGACTCAAAGACTATGTGTGAACAGACATGTGCTTTGCCACTAGCTTGCTGTGTGGCCTTGATCAGTGGGTGGGGGAGGCTCCACCAGCCTCCATTACTGCCTTCGAAAACTGGTGGGTGGGGCAGTCAGAAAGGTCTCCTGAAGAATAGCTGGGGTTCTAGGAAAGGATCCTCTACTGTGAGCCTCCCGTCCCCAGCTCCCAGGATAGAGCACAGGGAACTGAAGGCCACAGGGCATGGCTGGAGGTGCTGCGCAATGATAGAATGGAGTGCTGGGGCGGTTTTGGGTTCTATGGTGGATCTGGGGAGGGAGGCCTTTGCTGATCTGCCAGTTCATCTGGCCAGCTGTGGGGCTAGCACTGCCTGGCCTAGGTCCGTGCAGGACTTCCAAGGGTAGGTCGCAGAAATGATGGCTCGGGTGGGCAGGTGCTAGGGCTGTGTCCTCAAAGCCATGCAGGGTGAGCTTCCACTCTCTTACCGTTGATGTCCAGGAAGTCCTCTGCCATGACAACAGGCCCTTTGTCAATGGGCTTGCCAGAGCCATTGAAAATCCGACCTGGGAGGGACAAGGGGTTCAGGAAGGTGTCAGGGCTCCCAGCCTGTGCACGGCCACCAGCTCCACATACTCCTCCAGAATCCCATCACCCTGTGTTCCCCGCCTCCTCAGCCCCCCCCCCCCCCCCACCATCACACATGCCTGACTTCTGTGACTGTCCCTGCCAAGGGCAGGGTGTCTTCCTTCCTTTGCTGTGAATTTTCACAGGCAAGGCATTTTGGAGTCACCCTGACCACTGGCCTGGGCCCAGGTTGATCACTAATCAGAGGATCAGGCCAGGGAAGGAAGGGCTTAGTCATCCCTTTCAGCCTGGCCCCCGAGTAGGTGGCTTCCAGCTGCTCCTGTAATGACTTAACCTCACGCCTTCATTATTGAGCGTGTTCTCTATGTTGGGCCCTGCACTAGGGATGGGAGCTAGAGAGAGAGAACAACCTCTGGCTTCGGAAGGCACGCAGGAAACATGCGTACAGGCAGCGAAGGGCTTGACTAGAGAAGCCAGGAGGGAAAGACGGAGGAGCACCCACCCCGCCCTCCACTCTCACCCAGCATGTCCTCAGACACAGGGGTCCGCAGGATGTCCCCTGTGAATTCACAGGTGGTCTTCTGGGAGTCAATCCCTGAGGTCCCTTCAAACACCTGTGAGTTAGGGATTGTGGTGAGGGGCTAGCTGGGAAGAATGGGCCGCCCACTGTAGGCACTCAGGGCATAGCTCTGAGCAGGGTACTCTCTGGGAAACAGGCCATTCCTCCCTCCAAGGCTTGTGAGATAGGATGGGAACATTGGCACACTTACCTGGACAATGGCTTTGGTCCCAGCCACTTCCAGCACTTGGCCACTCCTCTGAGTCCCATCCGGGAGGGTAAAGTTGACAATCTCAGCGTACTGGGCAAACTGTCGGGGAGAAGAGCCACCCAAGGGGACGCTCCTGTCACTTCCCATCTCTTCTTCTGGTCTCGAGTTACTGCCTGTCTTATTGTGCCCAGATGTGGGGAAGGGGCTTTGTTTGGGAGGGGGCACCCTGGAGATAACTGGGGCTTTAATCAGAAGCACGTGTTAGATCCAAATCTCTTTTCTTAGTGCAAGTTTATGGCAGCTGTCTAATTACTTACACGGCTTACTGAGCCCTCAAGTCATTAACACATGAGCCTTAGTTTTCTCCTCTTTAAAACAAGGGTGCTAAGAATAAGCCCCACCCCACAAGGCTGCCGTGACCAGGATGGGAACCCTACAATCAAGCTGTCAGCACAGCTCCAGGTGGGGTGGGATGGGAGGGGGGTGACTCAGTAGCACAAAGTGGCCATTGTGGCCAGCCAGGTCTCCTGAGCACGAAGGAGGAGCACACTTGTCACCAGAAGAAAGACTCCCTGTTTTCTAGGTGTCACTGAACCAGTGACAGCCTATTCCTAGCTATGGAGCTGGGATTGGCATCTGTGTAATGGTTAAGAATTTAAACAAAAATCAGGTTAATAAACAAAATATACAAGGGACTTCTATGATGAAAAGGATTTGATTAAAACATTTGAATAGGCATTTCTCTAAAGATGCAGATATGGCCAGTAGTCAGGTGGCAACATGTTCATGGCCATTCTCCTTGGTCAACAAGAAAATGCAAATCAAAACCATGATGAAGTACTGCCGCACACCTGCTAGGGTGGCTGAAAAAGAAAAAGCAGATGTTAACACACACTGCTGAAGATATGGAGAAATCAGAATCCTCTGTATTCTCCTGGGTGGAGTATAAACCAAAGCACTTGGTTTACACTTGGTAACATGCAGCTCCTCAAAAGGTTAGAATAGAGTCACCATTTGACCTAAGCAGATTTACTCTTAGATATCTACCTGAGAAATAAACCCATATATATCCACATAAAGTCTTGAATGTGAGTGCTCATGGAAGCATTATTCAGAATAGCAATAAAGAAGAAAGAAAGGAAGGAAGGAAAGAAGGAAGGAAGGAAGGAAGGAAGAGAGAGAAAGAAAGAAAAAGTAAGAAAGAGAAAAGGAAGGAAGGAAGGGAAGAAAGACAACAGGCCGGGGATCTGGTACCAGAGGGTCCGATGCTGTCTTCTGGTCTCTGTGGACACTGCACTCATATGCATACACACACACACACACATACACACAAATAAAAAATCTTTAAAAGAAAAAGAGAACAAATATCTATTAGAAAAAGAACCTATAACAAGCTCTACTAATCATATTCAGAAAACAATAAAGAAATATATATATATATATATAAAGAATTTAGAAGAAATGAATGAAGACTTAAGAGAATACAACTCAAACCAAAACCAATTAAAAATTAATAGAAAGAATGATCTTATAAATTTTTTTTGAGCCAAGATCCCTGGCTATCCTGAAACTTGATATGTAGACCAGGCTGGACTTGAACTCACAGAGATCCTCCTGCCTGTCTCCGGAGTGATGGGATTAAAGACTTGTACCATCTTGGAAGATTCTGTAATTTTTAAAAACTTTTTCACATTAATTTTTCCATGTGCTTTTACTCAATTCAGTCAGACCACAAGTTTATTTCATTTTTTACAGGTAAAGATGAACTTACATAAATAATGAGAGAATCAGTATAAAAGGATGTGGATTCGTGAACTATTTGTTACAGTGGAACCCATAAACAGAATGGGATTGTGGAATAAATCTATATTTTTTTTCTCTGTGACAAAATTCCTGACCAGAGCAACTTAAGGAAGGCTTTGTTTGGCCCTTGGTCTGAGAGGATGCCGTTCATCATGATGTGAAAGGCTTGAGACATAGCTTGAGGTTACAGGGAGAGATGAATCCAGTGCTGGGCTTCCCATCTCCCTTTTCCCTTTTTATTCAGCCTGGGACTCCCTTATGGAGTGGTGCCATTGATATTCTGGGCAAGTCTTCCATTCTCAAGTGCACCTCTCTGGAAATGCCCCTCACAGACACACCTAGTCTCCTAGGTGATTCTAAAATCCAGTGCAGTTGACATTTAGCACAAGTATCAGTATATTCGGAAACACAACCTGCTAGGCCACCATCCAGCAGGGGTACATGTGTCTCTCTGCACATGCGCTGTTCACCTGAATATGAACATAGCCTGCAGGTCTCACACAACTGTCCCGTGGGCTGGAGACAAAGGGACAGATGGTTAACTGTCTTTCCTTTGTTTCTCTGGGTACAAGGAGCATGTATTATTTTTTGTTACTAAAATGTAATAACATTAGGTGACATGTTATAATGCCACAAGTTATCATAGTCATGGCTGTCAGTCTGTCCCCTGATGGCCACACGCTCCTGACCTTATGAATCTGGGGAATGTGGCGGATGGACTAGTGACTAAGGTGGGCCACTCCCCCAGGGCCTTCCCTGCTCAGATTTGCAGCGATGACGGCCACTGATGGCGGTGTTGTTTGCACTGGTGAAAAGAAAGACGCGAAGGTGTCCCCTTCTCCAAGCGAGCACTTTCTAGGCCCTGCGGTAGGCTTGCTCGAGGAGAGGCCCTCCCCAACCCGAATCCGAGGTGGTAGGAGGTGCGGAAGTCCAGCCGTTTGGCGCCTCAACCACAAGATGGCGCGCAAGAGCAGAGAGACAGAGGGACGTCCGCGAAATGAGATCTACCGCAAAAGTCCCGCTCTTTTCCTCCCCCCTCTGCTCCCTGTGAACCTGAGTCTCTGAAACCACCCCTGTCCTCAGTGATTGTCAGCCTGAAGAGGAAAATTTCAGGCCAGAGAACGCTAATTTGGGCCTAAAAGAAGCAAGGCAATAAACCCGCTCAACAAAATATGGCAGGGAAAGAAATGCAGCTCAGGATAGAGTGCTGGCCTGGCCTGCATGAGGCCCTGGGCTTGATCTCTTGCGAGTGGGTCGGGGCAGGGAGAGGGAGAGGGAGAGGGGGAAACTGGCCGATGAACAGAATTTCCAGGGCCAGCACTCACTAGGCCCCAGCCTTGAGTACTGGTGGTTTTTACAGCCTCCCACAGACAAATTGTGAAGAAGAAACTTGGCAGGAGACTTGAGGGGTGACAGAGTTAGGATAAAACAAGGCCCCTGGATGGGCAGCTTAAAAGAAACCCTGAGTATGGCCTAGAAGCCAGGAAGGAGACTGAAGACTCTTACCTTGACCTGGTCGAGCACCACTAGAGGCCCATTGACGCTGCACACGGTCCTGTAGGCTGGGGGAGGGGAGGAGTGGGTCAGCATCTCACCTCTGAATCCCGCTATGTTCTACCTCCAAGGAGAATGTATGCATGTGTGCACACGTGTGTGTGCGCACACACACACACACACACACATTCACTGAGACACACATTTACTGAGACACACACACACACACACACACACAGAGAGAGAGAGAGAGAGAGAGAGAGAGAGAGAGAGAGAGAGAGAGAGAGAGAGAGAGAAGCATCCTGTCTCCTGCCCTCTGTGCACCCCCACCTCCTCCTCAGCCTGGGCCATCAGGGTCATTAGCTGTGACAGCGCCAGCCACCATTGCTGTAAGGGTCAAGCCCCTGCCACAGACCCCCCACTGTCTCAACACCTGCAGGATGCTGGAGGAGGGCATGAGGGCAGAGGCCTCCTCAGAGTCCTGCCCAGGCCTGCTGAGCTCTCCACTCCGTGTGTGCTTCCCCTCTGGCCTCAACCCCCACCTCACCTACTCCCTCTTCCCAACTCCACTTGAATGTTCCAAAGGCGTCTGGGGCACAGCCGTGGCCTCCTGGGCCCTTCCCCAGGCCCCCATTGCCAGCCCTTCACCCTGCACTGATGAGCTCTGTGGGGTGAGGGGTGCTGCCCCCCTCTGCTTCCTCCACCAAGCCCTGGCCAGGTCCCCCCAGCACACTGGGCATCCTAGTGGGTAGAGGAGGGTGATACCAAGAAGAAACACACACACACACACACACACACACACACACACACACACCCCACTGAGAAGAAAGCTCAGCTCCCAGGGTAAGATCCAAGGACAGTCAGCTACGAAGCCTGCCTCTGGTCCTCCTGGGGCTAGCTCAGGGACTCTGAGGAGGCTGTGGTCTCTTGACTGGCAATGGAGTACCAAAGCTAGTCTCTCCCAGGGATTCTATGAAGCACCAGTAATACAGTGGAGACAAGTAATTTGCCCAAACCGGATGAGTGGGGTGCTGAGAAGGAATTGGGTCACTCACAGACCACGGAGCTCAGGGGAGGTGGGCACCATGGGCCTGGGACTGGTATGCTTGTGGCACATCTTGGGAAGGGGCTGCCCTGGGCCCTCCATCAGCCCACACTGTCCCACAGTGTGCCTGACCCCAGAGGAAGCCAGTGTCCCTGTTCATGCCTTCCCAGGCACTGAAGCTGTTTCACAGCACATCCACCAGAAAGAGCAAATGCACAAGGCCATTCTTCCGCTGGTCTTTGCAAGGACCCTCCTACTGTAAGGACTACCTGGAAAACTCAAGGCTGAGCCCGGGCTTGCCCGAGTAGGACGCTCCGTTCCCTCCCAGAGCTACCTATTGCCCCTGTATCATCTACCTGCTGTCTTCCCTCAGCCCCTGAAGGAAGTCCGCCTTTATCTGAGGCAGGATCCAGGAGAAGCCTCTCCTGGTGAAGGGCCAGCTCCTTACCCTACATTTGTCTCTCAGGCTAGCCCCACCACCCATGTGCAATGGCTCCTTCTCAGCCTCTCTCCCTCCCCTGCACTCACTCTCACAAGAGGACTACTACATCATCAGGCACACTCCCTTTCTTCCATATGTAGGGTCCTTGGAAGAAACCCACAAGGTCCCCCACTGAAGGGCTTCTTACAGATCAGCCAGGCTCTGCTCCTTCCCTCTCACTTCCTGTTCCCTGGGAATCTTCCCTCCTCCCTTCCTTTCTTCAAATCCTAGCTGTTGAATGCCATCCCACCGCCACTAGCAAAGGCAGATAAATGACAACTCAAATGTAGAGCCTAATGTCCGAAGGCAGGGACAGAAAGAACGTGGCATTGGGAAACTATGAGAAACTACAGGGATGTCTAGGTGGGACAGATCAGGATGGGCTAGTGAGATGAAGGTGGGGTGGATGGGCCACGTGGAGGGCAAGATGGGCAAGAGGTAGGTGCAAAGCCAGCAGGCAGAAGAGATGAAGGATGGGATGGGCCAGGGACCAGAGTGAATGTTCAGGGAAGAGGCATTCTTAAGTCAGGGGACGGAGTTAAGGGGAGCCTTCCAGCCAGCCCCAGCGAGTTGAGGGAAGTGCCCATGGCAGAGTTGAAAGAAGCCCTGATTGCTAGCTGCTCAGTGCCTTAGGGGACAGAGAGGAGGGAGGTGACTCAGGACTCCTCTAGGCTGGCCTCCAGTGTGGGGAGAGCTGTCAGACATGGTCTCTGCTGTCCCTGCTCAGCACAAGGCTGGCACTCCGTACATTGGGCTGACTGAATTCTGGAAGGCACTAACTGGTTCTATCAGTTCATTATTCCCTTATGTCCCCATCAGACCAACAGGTATCCCCACCTTAGCCTCAAACCGATGGGAGTCCTGATGCCCAGCACAAGGGCCACACCCCCAGCTGCTGCCTGCTGAGGACCACAGAGGAAAAGATGAGAGAGAATATGTATAGTATTGAGGGTGGTGGTTTGGGGGGCCACAACAGACACTCTGATGGAATTTACACTGTGAGGATGGAACAGAGTGGAGCTGGTGACACCAGCAGAGACAGGGCCAGGACCATCACCCGACCAGGGTGGGGAAACTTTTGGACTGGCAGGTAAGTGTTCCCAAGCCTGGGGAGAGCTGGCATTTTGCTAGATCCACAGAGTTGGGGAAAGACAGCAGTGAGTCTGGAGTCAAGAGACTCCAGGGTGTGTGGGTCAGAGTAAGTGGCTTGTCTCGGGAGAGAGAGCCACAAAGCCCAAAGGGATCACGTTTGGTTTCACAACCTTGGGAGACAGGCCTTTCCCTTTCTTCTTTGCCAGCCTGCTCCCGGACTTCATGATTCACAGCTCAGCCTGAGAAATCTCTGTTAATCCTGAGGTCCAGCAAGTCCACCTGGAGAGAGGGTACCTGGAGATGGAGGTTAGGGATTGGAGGCTGGGCACCCTGCCTGGGTGAAGGAGGAAGGAGTGGAGGCCATGCTGGGCACCCTGCCTGATGTCAAGGGGGAGAGACAGTGCTGGGTGGCCTGCCTGGCTCTCTGGGAGTCAGGTTGGGAGATCTTAGCTTCTGTTAGGCCAGACCACATGGCGATCACTGTGAGATCTCTGAGTCTCCACTCAGCATCCCAGCCTTCTTTCCAGACCGCAGGATCCACTCGCTAGCTCAAGGCAGGAACGGCAGAGTGGCCGGAGGAAGGCACAGCTCTCTGCATTGAGGCCCTCACTGTAGAAAACTACCCAAGTACCATTTTCTATTCAACACAGGACTGCAAGTCCTTCAGGCGGTACCCTTGCCTACCTCCTGCAGTGCTTCTCACAATGTCTCCTCTGGAAATCCCCAAGACCACAGACTGGTACCCTGAGGGATTGTAGACCCCAGCACAGGACTAGATCTTTTCTCAGAGCCCGTCTGGTTTTATTGGATTTTTTATTTTATTTATTTTTGTGTATGTGTGACAAGGTTTCACTCTATAGTCCAGGCTTCCCTCAAACTCACTATTCTATCGCAGGCTGACCTCAAACTCTTGACAATCCTCCTGCCTCATCCTCCTGAGTGTTGGGATCATAGGTGTGCCAGCACTCCCACCTTCGGGTTGTCCAGTTAGGACTCAGGCAAAGGGAAACTGAGCAACGGAGATGTCTTTGACTGGTGGGCACCCTGACTGTGCCCCTTGCATGGGGAGGCAAGCTAAAGTGTGGGGGGGGTCCAGCTGGCGCTGGGGCACTCGGGGATTAAGGCACTGCCCACCCAGGGATGTCCCACTTGACCCTGAAGAAAGACACAGGGTGATGAGCTGCCAAGAGAGCCCTGGCTCCGCTGACCTCAGGGCATTCCCTCAATGGACTTTCCCCAGACTTAGCAGACACTCTCCCCCTCTGCTCACCCCCTCCCATTGTCTCTGACACTGGGGGCTGCAGTGTGGAGGAGAGCTCCCTACCCCCACCTCCCCACAGCTCCGGTCAAAGGCTCAGCAGGGCGCCTACGAGGTTCTAATTAGTGCCTGACCAGCTACACCTGCTGTGTCCTGTCTCCCTCCCCCAGCAGGCTGGAGGCCAGGGTGGGGGCAAGCCTAGGGCAGCAGGTCCTGCTCCTCCACCCCCTGTCCCAGCTGGGGGGACTAGGGGAGGGGGTCCTTACTGGAAGATGGGGGTCTTAGAGTCAGAACCTGCTTGTTCAGACTCTACTGTAACTACCTCCCCTTTGGCTCTCAAACCCTGGAGGAATGGCCTGACCTGGCCCCATCCCTCCAACTAGGCTGTCACTTGTCCTTTTGCACCTTTGCACACCTGTACTCACCCCCACGTGCAATGCTCCACATCTCCCCAGTGATCCCATGAAGCCGCACTGCCTCTACAATAAGCCAAGGCACTTGGGGAGTCCGGGCAGTTCCGCTGAAGGAAGGCCCTGCTTCTCAAGGTGGTTATTGCCAGCGCTCATGTCCAATCCCAACTCTGCCCTCCTCCTCCTTTCTGGCCAGCTCTGTCCCTCAGCATTAAGTCACCCTTCCAGCTGCAGCTGTGCCCTGGGATGACCAGACGACCTCTATGCAAGACCACAGGAGCCCTGGGGCCCCTGACCTCTGGACTGGCCCATCTCCTAGGCTCCCTCTCCAGTTCTTCAGCCTGAGCTTAGGGCCTGGAGTTTCAGAGTAAAGGGCCTGGCTGGAGGAGGAGGGCAGAGGGGGCACAGCATCCTTGTCTTGGGGGGGGGCAACAGTCCTGGGGAGGGGGCTCCAGTCACTCCTACCCTTGGCCTCATTCTCCTAGGAAGAACTGCACCCAGGTACCCAAGATGGACAGAGGGGTATGGGGAACTAGGCTGAGCCAGGCTAGGAGGGTGTCCTGGAGGGCTAGCCCAGCCCCTAGGCTATCCATAGTCTTTGCTCTGTCACTGTGGCTGTGATCTTGTTGTCTTGGGTGGGGGTGGGTGGGTGGGTGTCAGAACCTGCAGGGTGTTGACAATAAATAAGTGGCTGGCTGGAGGAAACTGGTAGAGGCTGCTCTAGCTTGAGCCCTCCCACCTGGAAGAAAACGTGGGGTGAGGGGAGGCCGCACAAAGGTTGTACCAGGAGATCCTTGTAGATCCCTGCAAGGCCGCATTCCAGAAGGAAAGCTGAGCCTGGAGGTCCAGGCCCCTGCCCCACCCAACCTGGCAGCTCTCCTTTGCCCACAGGTGGTTGGGCCTGCAGGGGCAGGGTATCACATGGCCCAAACCCTGGGCATAATGAGGCCCCTCTTGCCACTGATTTCTGGGCCCTAGTGACTCCAGCTTTTGCCTGGGGGGCTCTCTCTAGACTCTGTATGTCCATGAGGCAGGGCCTCCAGGCCTCCTTGAGAAATCTGGCTTGCCCCCTTTCATCTTTTTCCCCCAGCTGGTGCGTGCTGTACCTGTCTCGCTCAGCCTCAGCTGGGCTGGGCACCCAGGGCTCTGCTCCCTGAAGGCTGAAAGGCCTGAGATCAGCTGTTGGCTATCCTGTATGTATCCACACCTCCCCTGTGGGGCTGGGTAGCTTTGCAGTCAGGGTGAAGAAGGGTTGACTGTGTCTAGCTCCTTCCCCTCACCCAACAAACACACCCTGTTAGGAGCCTCAGGCTCTGCTCAGCCGAGGCCACTCAGGCTGGTTTACTCCAGTGAGCTGGGCTGCCTGAGACTTTACCAGGCTAGGGAGAGTGACCTTGGACAAGAACATGGGGGGTGACTTTGACCCTGTGGACCTCCCCAGGTTTTCTGTCCCTGACCTGGACTTGGCTCGCCCTTACAGATCAGACACAGACAACATGAGAAAGACACACCATGTGTAAACAGGTCCATGCTCTTACCCCAGCCGTATACACAGATTACCACAGCTATGTGTGTTCTCATACACCATGTAAGCATAAAGCCACGTGTTCTCTCCCCTTGAACACACGTGCACACCATATCCAAGTGCGCACACACATATACATTCACCTCACCTCCACCCTGTGTGTACAAGCATGCACACACACGCTGTTGCACATCCCGCCCTCACTCCCAGGTGGAGAATGCCCTTCTAGTACATGCTTCTATATACAGATTCTCTCCCCTAGAAAATGATGCAGGCACAGCACACTGGTTACTGAATTCCTCAAACCAAGTGCCCACTGACTATATTGCTACATACGAACCTGCAGACCCATTTGCCCACTCATACATGCCCATATGTGTTCTTGTTCTCTCCCTCCCTCTCTCTCCCCTCTCTCTGTCTCTCCCTCTCTCTCTCTCCTCTCTCTATCTCTGTCTCCCTCAAGCTCTCTCTGGACCTTGGGTCTTAGACAGGATCCTGATGGTAACAGTTGCTACTCAGCCCTCTCCTACACCTGAACGGGGAGCTCCATCCCTCCACCTGCAGAGGTGACCTAGGCACAGGCTATGCCACCGCATGGCTTCACTGGACCCAGAGCCCCCTGGTCTCCTTAGGTCTTGGTCCTCCTTTTCAGAGGTAAAAGCAGAATCCCAGCAGCCCTCTCCCCTCACCAGCTGGACATGAATACTCACTGACACGGGGGTGGGTGATGTAGTTTCGGGTCACAACCTGCACATGCTCTTGAGCTGTGACTGGGTCGCAGCCATTGCTGGTGAATCCCCCAGGCCTGTCGTCTGCTTTCGTGGCCATGGTGTGTGGAGAGCTGGGAGTCAGTGCCTGAGAAAACTGGTGGCAACTCTAAGACTTCAGTTCCAGCTGGAGCAGGCTGCTCAGCCTGTGCCAGCGGCCACCCCTCCCTTCCTTCTGTCCCTGCTCCCCCCTCCTCTGCCAGGTTGACTGTAAACAGGGAAGCTGGCACGCACCAACTCTGAAGGTTTCTCAAGCACAGGCTGAGCAGATCCTGTAGTGGCTGGCCCCCGGTGCCAGGTGCTGAAGGCTCACAATGACAGACAGAGCGGGGTGCACAGCATTTTTCTAATTTCTATGCCCCCCCCCCCAGTTCCCACAGTGAGTGTGGCTTCAGCTTTACCTACTTTCGGCAAGTCCTTGTCCCTCACCATATCATTCTTTGGTCTCCTCATGCTCTATTTCTGGCAGATTGTCTTTTCACTGTCCTTACACCCTGCACCCTTTGTCCTGAGTCATACTGGGTGCTCCTTCCTCTCCAATTCCATCACCTTGTCGTCTGTAAAGGCTCATCTCCTGGCCAGTCACAGGCCACCTCCTGCAGGAAGCTACCATGTTCCCTGGATCAGTCTGCGCTGTCTTCCTGCTCACTCCCTTGAGCACTGGTCCATTTCAGGTCTCTGCTCTCTCTCTCAAGCATCCCATTATGTCAAAGAACTCTGCTGTTAAGGGCTGGGTATGGCTATGAGGGATCAGAGTTCTGACTGCATGCTTCCATGAGGCTACACCACAGGTGAAATGACGTGAGCTTCCTTCCGCCCGTGGTCCCAGCATTACTTTTCTGTGTGATAAACGCTAGGTATTAAAAATTGCTACCATTGTGAGCAATTAGGTGTGATGGTTAACTTTGACTGCCAGCTTGACAGGACTTAGAAGCATCTAGGAAATATACACAGCCCTCCCAACTCCTGCCATCCCCATGCCTTTCCTACCATACCGCAATCTCAAATCATGATCCAAAATAAACTTTCCCTTTGCCAAGTACTTTGTCATAGCAATGAAAAAGTAACTAATACAGAAACTGGCACCAGGAGTGGAGTTGTGACTACGAACCTGGCCACATGGTTCTTAGACGTCTGCAACTGGTTTGTGAGAGGAATGCGGAAGAGTTTTTCAGCTGCAGTCTGGAGGAGCCCTAGATTGGTGTAAGGAGAGTGACATTGGCCATTCTGGTGGAAGACGAGAATGCTGAAGAGATACATGGACAGTTGAATCCCAGCACACAACGTGTCAGAGGGAAATAAGGACTTTATGATGAAATGGGCTAGATGTGATTCATATTGTATTCTGGAAAAGAATCTGAATTTATTCTGCCTGTATCCTGAGAATTTGAGTGAGACTGAATTTAGAAGTGATGGATTGATCTGTTTGGCAGAGGAAATCTCATGGCAGGTGTGGTGGTTTGAATGGGAATGGCCCCTGTAGTCTTATATGTTTGAATGCTAGGAACTTAGTTGGTAGAACTGTTTGGGAAGGATTAGGAGGTGTGGCCTAGTTAGAGGAGGTGTGTCACTGGGGTTGGGCTCTGAGGTTTCAAAAGACTAGCACCATTCCCAGTTCTCTCCCTCTCTCTCTCTCTCTCTCTCTCTCTCTCTCTCTCTCTCTCTCTCTCTCCTTCTTCCTGTTTGTGGATCTGTGTATGAGCTTTCAGCTGCTGCTCCAGCACCATGCCTGCCTGCTGCCATGTACCCGCCATGATGGTGATGACTCTAACTTTGCAACTGTGAGCCCCAAATAAACTCCTCTATAAATTGCCTCTAGTTGTGGTGTCTTATCACAGCAATAGAAAAGTAATTAAAACAGCAGGACAGCATTCAGGCTGTAGCATGGTTACTGCTCACTGATCTTGTGCAGTGAGAGAGAGCAGCATGTATGCAGGACAAAGTGTATAGTTTGTCAAAGAGAGAGAGTTTAACGTTACAGTCAAAGCAGGGTTGGAAGCAGCTGGGGCTGTTCGAGAGGTTAGGGCCATCACAGAGAAACATGGCACTCTGCACTGGAACAATAGCAAATGGGCTCTGACGGCAAGATCACCCACCCACCCAACTCTCCAACTTGTAAAAATGCAAATTCATTTGAAAGAAGAGAGCCTGAACTGAGGAACCCCGACAAGTTTTCTGAGATCTGACTGTGGAAGAGCACAGAGGCCACTCCAGCTGCAGCAGAAGGGGCCAGACCACATCTCAAGCTGATAGCCGAACTTGGCAGCAGCAGCCACCTGTTGCTAGTTTTAAGGGCATGCAAAATGCAAGAGCTATATAGGGCCATGGAGGTTTGCACCACGGTCCTAGAAAGCTGTTGAGGCCAGGTCATGTGTGGCAGGTTTGAATCTCCTTCAAGGAGGCCCTGAGAAGCTGTTGCATGGAACACTGAGGGTAAAGCTTAAGTTGTAATGGAGGTGCTAGGGCCATGAATATCTGTTGAGGAAAGCTGTAAACACAGCGTGGAATTAGCTCAAGACAGGTGCTTACATGTGCTGCAAGTGGCGGAACGAAGAGACAGAGCTAGCCAAGCCCGTTGGCACCTCTGTATCCCTGCCTGGATACCTGGTCCCAGATGCCAGAGCTCCAGGATGTGTTTCCTCTGCTGGGTTCTGGTCCTGCCTTGGCTCGTTCTTTCCTTCTTGTGTCCTATGCATCCCTTTTGGAATGGAAACACTTATTCTGTGCCACCATGTATTGAAAGGGTGTCATTTTTAAAAGTTGGCTCTTTCAGTCAAGAGTTTGTCTGATCTCCACACTTTGACCAACTGTGGAATAGTGAAGACTTCAGGAACTCGTGGAGATAGACTAAACACATTGCACACTGTGAGGGGAACAGAAGCATTGAGAGACCAGGGGTAGAATACTGTTGTTTAAAAGTGATGTGTTTATGTGCCAAGTTAGTGGGGGTGGTGATGCTGAGTAACCTCGATTGTCACCTTGATGGGGGGTGATGCTGGATAACCTCAACTGTCACCTTGATGGGGGTTGATGCTGGATAACCTCAATCATCACCTTGATGGGGGTTGATGCTGGATAACCTTGATTGTCACCTTGATGAGGGGGGTGATGCTGGATAACCTCAATCATCACCTTGATGGGGGTTGATGCTGGATAACCTTGATTGTCACCTTGATGGTGGGAATGTTGGATAACCTCGACTGTCACCTTGATGGGATTTAGAATCACCTCTACTATATTCATACGTCTGTGCAGAACTGTCAGGGCATTTCCCGAGTTTTAAATAAGGAGGGGAGGGCGACAACAATCCTTGGGCTGGGGGCCCAGACTCAGGAAAATGAGAATGAGAACCAAACACCAGCGTTCACCCCAGCTTCCTGACTGAGGCTGCAGTGTGACCGACCACCTCACTTCTGGGGCTTCCCACAGATGGACTTCCCACCAAGCTGAACTGCACCTTCCTGCAATCAGCTGAAACAAATCTTTCCCTCCTCACCTTGCTTCTGCTACACACTTTGTCCCGGGAACTAGAAAAGTCTGGCACAGTGGGTGAACGACTTCCTGAGAATCTATAATTATTACAAATAAAGGTTCAATGGAAGCACCGTGAGCAGAATGAGACTTTTCTGAGTGCTTCATGCTGCAGAGGCCTCTCCCCAGTCCAGCCTTGCTCCGGCGTACCTTTGATGCCCTCTCAGACCTCCTTCCACCTTGCACCATCCACCCCTTGAAGGACTTACTGCCCACCCGAACAAGTATTTTGAATTTGAAAGAAAAGCTCCCGTAGGAGAGAGCTTAACCCGATGTTGTAGGGCTGTGGAGCCCAGATGAAAGCTGTGCTAATGGTGGACCCACACCTGTGACACCAGCCCCAGGCCTACCCCTTCCCTTTTGAGGTTCCCATTTTGCTGCACATTGAGGACAAGGACAGAAGGGGGTGAGTTGGTGCTGCTGGGACCAGTTCCCTTCTTTATTTCAGTGAGACACACACGCACACACGTATGCACACACACGCTCACACGCACGTGACACACACATCAGAGAGTACGTTGGGACCAAAGTCATTTGGTACAGTCTCTGAGCTGAGGGCAGGTGGAGAGGAGCATGCTGTGCCCACTCCTTCTCTTCCAGGCCTGCTCAGTACAGTCCACAGGGGCCAGGAGGTTGGGGTCGTGCTGTGCTGGGGACTCAGTGTCACACGGGGACGGGACTCTTAAGTGTCAGCTTTCTTGCCACTTTGGCCAGGGCTGCCTACTTTCTGTTGTTCTAGCCTGATGTAGGGCTCAAATGCTGAAGACCCCAGTTTGTAGCTGGCAGGCAAGTCCAGGAGCGGAGCTGTGGAAAAGCAGATGGCTGGCAGAGGGGATGATGCTGAGGCCGAGGGCACTGGATTGAGGCTTGGGGAGGAGTTCCTGGGGTCACCCAAGGAGGTGCCCCTGTGGCAGGCAGGAAGGCCTGGCAGGCCTGGCGTCAGTGTCAGGAGGCTGGGGGCCCTGGGCACGGAGAGCAGCCGGCCCTGTTCCAGAAGTCGCAGAACGCTGGAGGTGGCAAAGGCCTCAGAGGCAGAAGAGGATGCCCGCTTCTCCAGGTCTCTGCTCTGGTCCTTCTTCTGCTTGGTGCGGCGATTCTGGAACCAGACCTTCACCTTGGGGCAGAGGGCACACAGGGATTCCGGAAGGGGCAAGAGGAGGAGCAGGAGGCGGAGCCAAGAGAAAAGGAGAGGGAGTTCAGAGGTGGGGTGGGGTGAAAGGGCACAAGGGGTAGGGGAGAACAGGGGGAGAAAGAAGGGCAGACTGTTAGTGTCACTTCACAACAACCTGGACCGAGGAACTGACTGGAGACCTCAAGTCTCAAAGTATAGACACCCCTTCGCTGCTGCTCTGACTCTGGCCAATGGGAGCATGTTGGCAGACGGGAGGTGGAGTCTGGGGGTCCACTGAAGGATCGGATTGCCCCTTCATGGCCAACACACTTTGCTCTTAGCCAGGTATCTGGTCTTAGACATCACTTATGTGTAGGTAATTCCCAACACTGCCTTACGCCCAGACCTCTAAACTGAAATCCAAGCCAGTCAACCAACTGCCACATGTTTATTTGTATTTATTTAGACGGGGTCTCATGATCCCAGACTGGCCTCAAATTTGCTATGTAGTTGAGGGTGACCTTGAACTTCTGAACCTCTTGCTGGGATTACAGTGCTGAATTATAGGCCTACACCACCGCATCCAGTTGTACACGATGCCAGGGATGCCACCCAGGGCGCTGTGAACGCTAGACAAATACTCTGTTAACTGAGTTTCTGTCCCAGCTTCTCACGCATGAGCAGGGACAGTATGCGGAGGAGCAACGGTGGCCCTGAGGCCCTGGAGGGAAAGGCTGGGGAGATTTTCTCATCCTTTCCGGCTTTCATAGGACCTCGGAGGTCCAGCCACTTGAGTCGCTCAGAGAGAGAGAGAGAGAGAGAGAGAGAGAGAGAGAGACAGACAGACAGACAGACAGACAGACAGACAGAGAGAGTCCAAAGTCATGACTCCTCCTGTGCTGGGAAAGCTGAATGTCTCACAGGGAAAGGTACGAACCCTTTTGGGGGTGACAATGACCAGGGGTATGGCGAATGCAGAATGACAAAATTAGGGGACCGTGCTCCCCACTGCACCCTGCCGTGGCAGAGTTCTGTGAGCAGAAGGAGAGGAAGACACGGGCAGGGTCTCCCAGCAGGCAGGCCCTAGACACGTGGAGAGAAGGCTAAGGGGAGGTTGGGCTGGGGCTAGGACCTGGCATTCTACTTGTCATACATGGACTCTTAAGTCTGGTTGTGCACACATTTCCTGTGCACATTGTAAATCCTAGTGCCCAGGGCTCATTCCAAATCTTTTCTGTCCGAGTTGGGTCAGGATGGAGATACCAGGATTTGTAGATGGAGTTTTCCTGCCTGGCCCACAGTCAGGACAAATCTCTCTCACCCGCCAGTCCCAAGCCGCTCAAACCCGATCAAGTAAACACAGAGACTTATATTGGTTACAAACTGTATGGCCGTGGCAGGCTTCTTGCTAACTGTTCTTACAGCTTAAATTAATCCATTTCTATTAATCTATACCTTGCCACGTGGCTCGTGGCTTACCGGTACTTTACATCTTCCTTATCCTGATGGCGGCTGGCAGTGTCTCCCTCCCCCAGCTTCCTGTTCTCTCAATTCTCCTCTCTCTTAGTCCCGCCTATACTTCTTGCCTGGCCACTGACCAATCAGTGATTTATTCATTGACCAATCAGCAACACATTTGACATACAGACTATCCCACAGCAAGGATTTCTTTTTTTCTTTTCTTTTTCTTTTTTTAAAATTTATTTTCTGTGCATTGGTTCAGTGAAGGTGTCAGATACCCTGGAAGTAGAGTTACAGACAGTTGTGAGCTGCCATGTGGGTGCTGGGAATTGAACCCAGGTCCTCTGAAAGAATAGCCAGTGCCTTAACTGCTGAGCCACCTCTCCAGTCTCTTCTGTCCTGGCGTTGGGAGTTCTAGAAAACCCTGTGGGCGATTCCAATGTGCTGCAGGTAGATCGCCCTCAGAACCCGAGCCTCTGTATCTCATCATCGATCCCAGGGCTCCTGGAGGCTGGTTCATGGGGCTCAGTGACTTTGAGACAGGCTCACCAAGAAGCCTTTTATTCATCCTGCCGCTTGTACTGATTCTTTCAGACTCTGCTCTATCCCTCTTCTGGGAAGCCATTGCTGGCTGACTCCTGAAGGGCCAGGGCATTGTCCTGTGGGGTGTTTCCCAGGCACTGACTGCTCCGCTGGGCTCCTTAGTGCTCTGCAGAGGTTCTCTGCAGGCTGCCATCTTGGATGCCTGGATCTCAAGGAATGCTTGGTGGCTTCATGTCCTGATATTTTGCTGGGCCACAAAGGCCCACATCAGGAGCGTAGTTTCCAGGACTGAGAGTCTTTTTTTCTGGGAGAATATCTCCTTGGGCCTGAGGTTAGTGCTTGATTCTAAGGCTTGTTCATTTGAAAATGAAAATGCCATTAATAATTTAGAAATCAGACAAGGTCTCCCTGTGAAGCCCAGGCTGGCTTTAAACTCTGCATCCCCCTGCCTCAGCCTCCTGAATGCAGGGATGATAGGCATGCATTAGACTTTTGTCCTTCAAAGGCCACTCCCTGAGACCATGGGCTCATACGGAATCTGGATGTCTTAGTGTGAAGGCAGCTTGGTTTTTCCTGGGCTAGGTCCCTCTAGTCCGCTGCTTTGGACTTCCAGGGCAGGGGCAATGTACTGGTACTGCAGATGATTGCTGAAGAGCCAGAGTAGCACTTATTTAAACTGGTGACTCCATCAGTCCTGGGGTTTGGCACTTGTCCTTAGCCCGTCCCTTGACCAGTTGAGGGAGGGGACCACCGAGTCAGGCTCTCTCACCTTTCCTTCTATCTAAACCACATCTCTTCTCATTTCCGGTTCTGGGCTGTTTGTGTGGTTTGAGACAGGGTCTCATGTAGCCCAGACTGGCCTCGAGCTCACTTTGTAGCCAAGGATGACCTTGAACTTCTGACCCTTTGGCCTCTACCTCAAGAAGGGTGAAGAGACTCTCCTCTGTCTCCCATTTCCACATAGGGGCAAGGGGATTACAGATGCTCACATTTGGGTTTTCAATGTGTCTTCTGAGGATTTGAACTCAGGTTTGCCCAGCAAGTGCTTTTACCCACTGAACCTTCTCCCATTTTTCTCCTTGCTTCTTTCCTTCCTCTTTTCCCCTTCCCTTCCTCTCTTCCCCTTTCCTTCCTCTCTTCCCCTTTCCTTCCTCTCTTCCCCTTTCCTTCCTCTCTTCCCCTTTCCTTCCTCTCTTCCCCTTTCCTTCCTCTCTTCCCCTTTCCTTCCTCTCTTCCCCTTTCCTTCCTCTCTTCCCCTTTCCTTCCTCTCTTCCCCTTTCCTTTCTCTCTTCCTCTTTCCTCTTCTCTTCCCCTTTCCTTCCTCTCTTCCTCTTTCCCTCTTTCCTTCCTCTCTTCCCCTTTCCTTCCTCTCTTCCTCTTTCCTCTTCTCTTCCCCTTTCCTTCCTCTCTTCCTCTTTCCCTCTTTCCTTCCTCTCTTCCCCTTTCCTTCCTCTCTTCCTCTCTTCCTTCCTCTCTTCCCCTTTCCTTCCTCTCTTCCCCTTTCCTCCTCTCTTCCCCTTTCCTCCTCTCTTCCCCTTTCCTCCTCTCTTCCTCTCTTCCTTCCTCTCTTCTTCTTTCCTTCCTCTCTTCTTCTTTCCTTCTTCCCTTCCTTCTTCATCTTTTAAATTTTGTTTGCTCCAGGATAGGGTCTCGCTGTGCAGTCCAGGCTGGCTTCCAATCCTTTATACTTCAGCCCCCACCCCCTGAGTGCTAAGATTGCAGGCATGTGTCACCACTCACAGCCCAGCCCTCTTGTTGACACTATTGGCCCTGCCTTAGCCATGGCTCTAAGTTTTCCCCTCACTTGTGTATGTTCCTCCCAAGTCATGCCCCCATGTCAGTTCTTGGCCTCATACACCAAGACAGTGCCCAGATACCAGCACCAAATGGTGGAAACCTGGCCTGACTCTCACCTGGGTCTCAGAGAGGTTCAGCTGGCGGGCCAGCTCCGTGCGCTCTCGGCCCACCACGTACTGGCAGCGCTGGAACTCCATCTCCAGGCGATACAGCTGCTCTGCCGTAAAGGAGGTGCGGGTCCTCTTGGGTCGGTCAAGGTCCAGGCCCTTGGGCAGGACAATTTCTCTAATGGTCCCCTTGGCATCTGCAAGGGCCATGAGGGAGCCAGGTTAATTCACTGTGTTAGATCATCTGTGTGTTTTTTATTTCCTCTTCCTCTTCCTCCATCTTCTTCACAGGGTTTCACTGTATAGCCCAGACTGACCTTGAACTCAAGGCCTGGTAAGGTCCTATCAAGAATCCTCAGGTCCCTGCCTGAATACTTGATCTCAGAGAACTTGCTAAGCCTCTCTGAGCCGAGCTTCCTCATCAACCCCATGCAGGGAGTCATATGTCATGGGTATGGAGATAAAGATAGATGGATGGATGGATAGGTAGGTAGGTAGAGATAGAGGGAAGTCGAAAGGGAGGGAGGGAGGGAGGGAGGGAGGGAGGGAGGGGGAGAGGGGTATGAGAGGGAGGTTGGCTATCATGGCCTGGGCAGAAAGGACTCATTGTGACTCATCCAGGATTCTGTTCCCTTTGCAGAGTAACTAGCTGGGACAAAACAGACCAAGTCCTCATGTCCAGAGAAGATGGATTAGAACTGAGTGTGGTCAGTCACAGAATGCTTTCTGGAGACATGGAGCCCTGGTCCCTCCTGGGGTCCAGAAGGATGTTAGCTGATGTGATACAGAGGGCAGAAGAGAAGCTGGAAACCCCAGGAGGGGCCCAAAAGCTGGTACCACCCTACTAGGCTGCTGGGTTATCTTCCAGCCAGGGAACTAACCCACTCTCTGTGTCCCTGTACAGCTGAGCCATCTCAGGCTTTAGGCCAATATCTTTCACACAGAACCCTCCTTAGTGCTTTGGGGTCCGTTTAAGAAAGGCCAAAGCCTACAGCCTACGATCACCACAGAGCACCACAAAGCGCCCAGAGAGGGGAAATGCTGTAATCTAAGCTCCCCACCACTGATGTGAAATCTGTTAGCACAGGTAATAATCAGACGGTGGGATAAGGCAGCACTGTGCCCGTGGGATCCACCAGGCACACAAGGAGACCAGCTGCAGCCTGGAAAGCTTACCACCAGCTCAGCAGGGCACGGTGCAGCATGCCTGCAAGCCCAGCACTTGGGAAGTAGAAACAGGAGGACCAGAGTTCAAGGCCAGCCTGGGATATAAGACCCTGTCACCAAACAAAACCAGCGCCGCTCAGGAAGCCCCTGCAACATGCCATCTCCTGCAGCTGCAAGGATCCTCATTTCCACCAGGGGGCGCAGAAACAGCTTTTGCTACGTGCTTGGAAGCAAGCCGCTTCTAAACTGGCTTCTTACACGGTAGTCCAGAAGGGTGAGAAGGGGCTGGAGATACCGCACAGCAGTGAAAAGTGACTGTTGCTTTTGCGAAGAACCTGGGTTCTGTTGCCAGCATCCACATTGGGAGACTCACAAGACCTGTAACTCCACCTTTGGGGGATCCTACACCCTTTTTTGGCCTCATGGTATGATACACATGTGCACATATGCCCCCACAGACACATACACATAATTAAAATATATTTTAAAGATATGAAAGCAGGAGACTTGTGGGGAAGAGGGAGCCCAGGGTGTGAGGGTGGGGCTGACAGGGTAGTGGGTTTAGTCCTAACACATTATGTACACGTAAACAGGCAACAACAGTAGCAGCAAAGGGGTCAGGTTCTTCAGCCCCTGCCCTGGGCCAGGGGTTGGTCTTAAGTTTGAACCTTCTCAGTGTCTCCATGGAGATGGAACTGTCATTTCCCTACTTTATAGACAAGGAGCAAGTTTTAAGTAACTTCTTGAAGGTCCCACTGTCAGTATTCAATAAACCCTAGAAACACCCTGTTTAGCACACTCCTGTAATCCCACCACTAGGGTGATGTCAGCAGGAAGACTGCAAGTTCAAGGCTAGCCTAGGCCACACAGTGAGAGCCTTCCTCAACAAGCAATAACAGCAACAGCAACAAGCAGGGTCTGGAGATGCAGTCCAGCGGAGGGAGCGCTTGCCTAGGAGGCACAGGGCCCGGGGTTCAGCCCCGCAATGTGCAAACATCAGCTCCCAGTCACTCTCGTCTCACTTCACGAACATGCTGTGGGACGTCCTTAATACAGTTGGTAAGTTTCAGCCAAGACTTTAGCAATGGGCAAGAAGGAATCTTCTGGAAAAGCCCATTGTTCCCTTGGAGAACGTGAGACAAGGTGTCTATTTGGGGCTGCTGCCTGCCTTGCGTCCCCGAAGGACTGTAGTCCTCCTTTTAGAAATTCTGCTCCAGATAGGTAGCCTCAGCCCCTTCTTCCCACTCCCATGGCATGACCTGACCCTTATGGCTCCTGTTTGCCCCAGTGGCTGTTCGACCTTCAGGGTGTGCTCTGGCTCTGGTCCCATCTTCATGTGCAATCAGCCTTGGAAGTGGTGAGTGGGGGTGGGGATGGGATGATGTCGGGGAAGAAGGACATCATTGCTCAGAGGGGACCAAACCCTGCCAGCCCAGGTCCCATCCAGGCTCGGAGCCCAGTAAGTCTGATGGATGAAGGTCTTGTAATTGGTGTGTTGTAGGGACCGTGGGCCTCCTGGGACTGCTTAGCGCCCTAGGTCCAATACTCTCCATATTCTAGAAGAGTATGGAACCCTTGTGAAGGGGCTGGTTCTGTCTGCTCAGCTTCCACTATTAACCGTGGTGAGATGAGACCAAAGGCTTCCTTCCCACTCCCAGAGAGCCCATCTTCAAAGGTGCAGGTCAGACCAGGCTATCTGCAGGGACAGACGGGAGGGAGGGTGCTTAGAACTGGAAGCGTAGGCTTCACACCTTTTCTGGGCGGCTCCCTGAGTCACCCTGAAGTTTCTGAGCCTGAACACCAGGAGGTCAAGCCACACCTGGGCACATCCTCTGCTCTTCCGAGGAGGAGCTGGGAGGAGCACTGCCATCTCTGTGGGTGAGTAAGGTCAGTTCTCTCCCTCAGGGCCACTACACAAGAAAAGCAACCACTGACCACCACCCAGTGTCAAGCCACACAGGAGAACCCAGGGAAGCGTGTTCCACATCCCTAGTGTTTGCGGGAAGTGGTTTAGAGCCGCAGTGAGGTGTGCCTGCTAGAACAGAAGAAATCAGGAATGCTGGGGGTGGGGTGGGGTGGGGGTGGGGTGGGGGGTGGGGGTGGGGAGCAAAGAGGAGGAGAAAGGAAAAGGACACTGAGCATGCCGAAGGCCACGGAGGATGCAGACACCGGATCTCTGGTAAAAAACGATCCAGCCACTCTGGAAGCCAGCCTGTGGTAACTGAGAGAGTTAAAGAAACAACCAACCAACAACCCTGTGACTGTGTTCCTGAGTGTTTGTCCTGGAGAAGTGAAATCTTATGTCCACACAAAGACCTGTACACAGCGGCTTTTCTTTGTGCCTTTTGTAAAATTAAGATTTACTTATTTTTATTTCATGTATGTGAGTGTTTTGCTTGTGTTCATACTTGTGTGCCCTTGGAGGCCAGAAGAAGTACTTGATCCCTTGGGACTAGTGTTGGGAGATGCCACGTGGGTGCTGGGAATCAGACCCAGGTCTTCTAGAAGAGTAGCCAGTGCTCTTCACCGCTGAGCCATCTTTCTAGGCCCTGTTTGTTTTTGAGATGGGGGTCTCATGATTCTAGGCTGTCTACAAACTCTCTTTGTAGTTGAGGATGAGCTTGAACTCCTGATCTTCCTGCTGGAATTACAGACATAATCCACCATGCTTGGTTTGTTTGGTGCTCTGAATTGAGTCCAAGGCTTCATGCATGATAGGCAAGCAATCGGCCAACTGGGCTACACCCTGGCCCCACATTTCCTTTTAATGGCCTCCAAAGGGAACTAAGCAAGTGTTTTTTCAGCAGCGGGCTGGTGGGAGAAACTATTCAGAAGTGAAGAAGCGTCATTGTTGACAAAGTTGGTGTGCTCAGGGAGCTCAGTGAAGAAGCCAGAGCTGGAGAGAGGGCTCAGAGCTCAAGAGCACTGACTGCTCTTCCAGAAGATCTGTGTTCAAGTCTCAACACACCCAGAGCAGATCACAATCTCTGGTAACTAACTCTAGTTCCAGGGGGATCTGATGCCTTCTTCTGGCCTTCCAGGCACTACGTGCATGTGATACAGACATACTTGCAGGCAAAACACCCATATACATAAAAAAATAAATAGACGCCAGTTCCCAGATGTCATGTACACAAGCTTCTGTTTATATAACATCAGAATGACTAACCGATGGAGGGGGAGGGCAGAGCAGTGACTGCCAGGGACTGGGGCAGATGAACGATTTGACCACACAAGGGGAGCGTTGCAAAGCCCTTTGTGGGCCAGGGGTGGTGGTGCGTGACTTTAATTCCAGCATTTGGGAGGCAGAAGTAGTGGATCTTTGTGAGGTCAAGGACAACCTAGATTACACAGTACAATTCCAGGACAGCCCAGGCTTTACAAAAATAAAAATAAAAATAAAAATAAAATACAGAAAGACTGGAGAGATGGCTCAGCAGCTAAGAACACTTGCTGCTCTCCCGGAGGACTTGGGTTCGGCTGCCAGCAGCCGGTTCACATCTCACAGCTGGCCTGTAACTCCAGCTGCAAGAGAACTGGCACCGCTGGCCTCTGAGGGCACCCACATTTCTGTGCCCATACCCACACACAGGTATCGGTAGGATTAAAAATACAATAAGTCCTTAATTTTTTTAAGAAAGAAAAGAGAAGCCCTTTGTGGTGGGGCAGTGGTTCTGCATTTCAGTCATCTTCTGAACCCATGCATGTGACAAGGCATCACAGAACTATGGGAAACAGAGATGAGTGACAGCACACACAGATGGAGCTCAGGGAAGGTCTGTGGCTCAGTTTCTCGGACTAACCCCCCGGCAGTTTTCTTGTTTGTTTTTTATTTTGTTTTGTGTTTTTGAGACAAAATCTCCTGAAGTCCAGGTTAGCCTGGAACTCTCTATGTAGCTCCAGCTGGTCTTGAACTTTTGACCCTCCTTTTTCTGCCTCCTATGTGCTGGGATTGCGTGCTGGGATTGCCTGTGTACAGCACCACTCCCGACTGTCTCCTGGATCTGATAATGTGCCCTGGATGTTTGTG